CCCCGCCTGGGGATGGCCCGGGCCCTGGGACCACCGACACCCCCAAACCCGCCTGGGGACGGCACTGGCCCTGGGACCACTGACACCCCCAAACCCGCCTGGGGACGGCGCTGGCCCCAGAACCACCGACACCCCCAAACCTGCCTGGGGATGGCACTGGTCCTGGGACCACTGACACCCCCAAACCCGCCTGGGGACGGCGCTGGCCCCAGGACCACCGACACCCCCAACCCCTCCTGGGGACAGCACTGGCTGCAGGAGCTTTGACACCCCCAAAACCGTACCTGGCTGGGCAGGAGCGGTGCGGTGGCTCTCTGTCCTGTGTTCTCTGGATGTTTTGGGGGGGCCCTGGAGGTGCCATGTCTGCTGGGGACTCACCACCGCGGTGCAGACACAGGAAAGGGACGACTCTTGGAGGTACCCGCTCCCCGGCTGGTGGACGTGCCGGGGCAGGAGGCTCCGGCCGTCGGGGAGCCAGAAGGGCTTGAAGTGCTCGGTGGTGGTGGACGTGGCGGTGTCTTGGCAGTGGCTGTGGTGGGAGGCCAGCGTGGCTGTGATGGAGCTGGCCCAAAACTTGCCCCGCTGTCCCCCCTCCACGGCAGGGGTACCTACCCCCCTGCTGCGCTGCACGGGTGGAGCAGGCAGGAGACGGCCGAGCGGTTGTTGGACACGTAACCGGTGTCGGTGTGGCGGCCGAGGCAGGGACGGAAACGTGGCTGGCCTGGGTGACAGCGAGGAGAGGGGGGGGGATGGACAAACGGACAGGCAGACGCCATGGTAGGGCTGTCCCAGAGCAGCTCCCTTCCTGCCTGGAGGCAAGGGTGGCTGTGGAATGTGGATGTTTGGATGGTGACACCATCTCCTGGTAAACAGTGCCGTGACACATGGGGACCTCGGTCGCAGAGGGACTGTCACCGCTGCCTGGGGACCGCTGGCCCGGCTTGGACAACCCACAGAGGACACCAAGGGAGCGGGATGCCCCACTCCAACCTCCTGTGGAAGGGACCGCAGCCCCCTGGGTGTGGGGTCACCTCCCCCAGGTCCCCAGAAGAAGGATTTCGAAGGGATAGCTGGGAGACGGAGACAGCGGTGAGGTGGCACAGGCCAGAGCGAGCTCCCATTGCTGCTGCCTCCCCCGAGCACCCGCTCCCAACGCCGCCGAAGAGCGCCCACAACGCAGCAGGAGGATGGCAGCGGGGTTAGCAGCCACGGCTTTATTCATTGTGCCCTGAGAGTCCGAGGGAGCTGCTGGCGGAGGAGAGCCACAGCGAGGACAGCAGCGGTGTTTCCACAGGGCCCCGTGTCCCTCCTCTGCTCCAGGGGATGGGGAGGGAGAAGGCGGCCTCCCCCCATCAGTGGGATGGCTCAAAGAGGTACTCCAGGTCCGGCTGCCGCAGTCTCTGCTCCCTCTTCTTATTCTTGGCAAACTCCCTCAGCATGGCCATCACGTCGTTCTCAAATTCGGCTGGCGTGGGCTTCGCTTCTGCGGTAAAAACAGAAAGAGGCAGCAAGAGAACGGCTCCGTCCTGTCCTGAAGCACCCAGTACCACAGTCACTCCACCAAGCCCAGCTCCCGCGGCCCGGAGCGGCGCTGGTGCTCTGGCATCAGAGCAAACAGGGCAACGGGGAGCTGCACCGTACCTGTGGCCCAGTAGTAAATGTCCCAGTCGTTGCTGGGCTCGTTGATGAGCCGGTCGTAGAGGTTCAGCTGCTGCTCGCTCATGTGGTTCAGGTTCTCCTTCGCAAAGAGGCTGGGGAGAGGATGGAGGAGGATGAGGGCGGGTGACCGGAGGAAGAGCCAGGCCGGCACACTGCTCCCAACCGCGGCTGGTGGCCAGCGCTGTACGCAGTGCCAGAAGACATGGAGCAGCTGTGTCCAAAGTGACCTGCCCTCAGCCTCTGCTCTCCGTTAACCACTACTTCAGTCCCGAAACCCGACTGGCCCTGCCTCGTTCATACATCCCAGAAATTACATGCATCCTTCCCAAAGGATTTTGGCTCAGCCATCCCCTTGGAGCTTTCCAGAGCTCTCGTATGCCTCTGGCTGCCTCTGGCTCTGCCCTGTCCTGCCCAGGAGCAGCACTGATTGTTGCATCCTGGACTCAAGCAAGCAAAGCTCTTGCAGTGATTTATCCAACGGTGCACCCTTCTAACCTCTAAGCAACACCACATCTCCTTAAGTTTTGGATTACGGTTGTGCACTACCCC